GCTAGAGTGTTGGGAGTGTGATAGCTCTAAACTGGACAGTGTTGAGATAGTTTGGTGACTAGTGGATCATAGAAAATGACCTATGTAATTGGAGATAACGTTTCACCTTGCTCTACTCCATTATTGATGACGAATGAGTTGGTTGGACTGAATGGGGAATTGATAGAAACCTCTCTGTTAGTTAAAATATTGATGAGAAGATTGATGACTTGTCTCGGACAGTTAATTCTTTCCAGGGATTTTTGGATCACTGGGATGGGGGCTAAGTCAAATGCTTTGGCTATATCAAGGGATGCAGACCAGAACTCTTTGTTGTTGGCATTTGCTGTTTGAAGAGCTGAGTTAACGATCACTAATGGCTCTATGGTGCTTTGTTCAGGAAGGCCAGCATAGTTGAATTCAGATAGGATATTGTTTTCTTTGAGGATTTTGGTTAACTTTTTGTTGATCAATCCAGTAAAGACTTTCCTAGTGAAGTCGACGAGAGATATGGGTCTGGTGTCTAACAGTTTGTGACTTCAAATAACTTTCTTCAGAATTAGAGTGATAATGGTTTGTTTCCATTGTTTGGGAATACAGGAAGAACACAGGATGCAATTGAAAATGGTGGTTATATGGGTGATAGCTTTATCTTCATAAGTTTGATAATGTCATAGCTAATTCCTAATTTGTCAGAAGCCTTGTTTTTAAGTAGTTTGTGAATAGCTTCTTTAATAGTTGAAAGATCGAAGGGGTCTAGAAGATCTTTATAGATTTCTTGATTGATTGTCTTGGAGGAATAGATTTCTTTCCACTCTGGAAAGTCTGCAAGATTGAAGTTTTGGGGTCTAAGAATATTCTTGAAGTACTTGTTAATAGTTTCTTGAATAAGATCAAGGTCATCTACTAGTTGATCATTAAAGTTGTATAATTTGAAGAGATCGATTTTTGGTTTAATTGTGCCAAGTGCTTTCTTGATATAGCTCTTAGGTTTGCTATAAAAATTTTCCACCATGTTCTCCAGATTTAGGCGAAATTCCTCGATTGATTCTTGCTGGGCTTGAAGTAAGGCTTCCTTGATTAAGAGTTTCTTTAGTTTCTGAAGACCTTTGATCAAAATATTAGGACTGTGGTTGGAGGTTTCATAGAGGGCTGATAATTCCTGATCTTGGAGAGACAGGGATGAGTGTTCATTCTTGAGTTGTATCATAACTTTATTGATTTTTTTGGTTTGTTTTTTTAATTTTTTCTCTGCATTGGTACGATAATCTTTTCGTGTATAGTTGACTTTAGATTTTTTGATATGTTTGTTAAGGATATTGGAACAGATATTGTGGAAGCTGTCCCAATTGGATGAAGTCAACAGGCTGGTCCAATGGTCTAACTCTTTAGTGAACTCTTGGATATTTTCTTTTGGAGTTTTGTTAAGATCAAATTTAAAGATAGGTTTGATATGTTTGAATTCAAAGTAGTCTAGTTTTATTGAAATGGCTCGATGATCCATTGGAATGGTGTCAATTTTTTGTACCTCATACTATACTACTTTGAAGGCAAGATTTCTTGAGACCCAGACTTGATCTATACGTGAGGCACTAGTGACAGTGAGGTGCATATATGCTTCGCTGCCCAATGTCGATGTAGTTGATAAGATATTTGTAGATTAATTGCTTGTGTGGTGTAGTTTTAGCTCCAATGGATGGGCTGTTTTTTGGATAAGTGTTGAAGTCTCCTAAGATTATATAATGGAGTTTGAGGTGTGTGGCTAATTTGGTAATTAGATATACTTGCTTTAGGGCTGAATCTCTTTTTTTTCTTTCGTGTGGAAGGTAAACTACTGTCAAGAGTATATTCACCTTTCCTTTAAATTTCAAGATGATTGATGAGCAGTACTCAGATATGTCGCATATTTTAAACACATGTGGTGAAAGGTCTTTGTTGATGATTAGCATGGTGCCACTTTTTGCGATGTTTGAGTTGCCATAAATAATTGATCTTCCATTGATGTTGTTTGGGTGGTGATCATCTTTTTTGAGCTTAGTTTCGGTATACACTAGAATAGATCTGTTGTTTACTGTATTGATTAGGGTTTTGAGTTTGGTTGGATCATTGAGACCTCTGGTATTGATGGTTGTGAGGGTAATTAGGTTTTTGATGTTATTGGTATTATTGAGGTTGTTTGAAGGTGTGTCATTTTGATTGAGTTGATTTGGTAGCATTTGATTGTAGTCTGTTTTGAGATTGTTACTCATGTTTGTTATCCTAAAAATGGTATGAAATCAAACTCCGGTTCAGGAAGTGTCTCTTTGATGACTAGGGATTCTGGAAGTCTGCTGAAGAAAAATGTTTGATGAAGTTGATGAATCGTCGTTGGAAGAGTGTCATTGTCAATAAGGGAAAATTTAAGTGTCATCAAATTGTTGTTTGATAAGATTTTGTTGATTTCATTGGAGTCTTCCGGCAGTGGGACTCATGAATTGGTAAACCATTTTTCAGGAATTCTTGAGAATTCGTAGTGGCTGTGGAGAATTCCAATTTTTTCCTTCAATTGTTTGTCATTACGAGATAGTTGATTAATGTTGAGATCTGCGTAGATGTCCTCTAGTTTCTATGGAAGTCTTGGTTTATTGGTTTGGGCAATTTCAGGAGATATCCATAGGGATCTTAATGGAAGTGAGAATTGATATTCTGATCTCAAATTTCTGATTAGAAATTGCATATCGTGAGAGTTTGTGGTAGGAATTTCGATTTCAAGTTTGGATCGATATTTATTGATGGTAAATGGCCATGATAGAAGAAGTCTTTTGGATTTGAAAAAGTTGATAGGGAGACATTCAAAGAAATATTTTGTTCTTAGTTTTTTAACAATTTCTCTGATGTCAGTCTCGCTAGTATTGAGTGGAAAAAAGGAGGCGAACTCTGGATCCAACAGATCAGGAGAAGAAGGAAGGGGGCTCTTGGGAGGTGGGAGGTCAAAGTAAGATGAGAGAACTTTAGGAGAAACAATAAAGAATCTCTTAAGTTCTCTAATCATATTTCCCAAGTTTCATAGGTCTTTCCTTCTTCTGACTGGGAATAGGTGTGCGACTTCTTTGGGTAGGTCTTGAGGGTGGTTGGGAAGGTCTGGAAGTGAGATGAAATAAGAATTTGGTAGGAGATCAAACCTGTAAAAGGAGTGAAGAGAGCCTGAATATTTGCTGTAGTGCTTTTATCAAGAATGGGAATCCGGTGAAGGATTTTGACTTTTATTTGTGCAGGGATTAGATCAGGTGATGAGGAGAGTTCTGGAAAGTTGTCACGAAACATTTTCCTGCTTCTTTGAAGTAGATTGTGATAGTCTAGTTTGTTACTTTCTTTAGGACAGCAGAAGAAGTTACAACCATATTCCATGATTTGTGTCAGAAGATGTGGGTTGACATCAAAAATGTTGATGTATCTCAAGTATGCAATGAAAAGACTGGAGCTTAAAAGAAGCTTGATCTTGGAGCAAACTTCTCTATTGAGTTCAGTAACTTTGTATTTTGTTTTGTAGATTCTTTGAAACTGACCATCCAGTTTTTCGTATTCTTTCTGATGATCTTCTTTGAGTTCATTAGTTTTGCTAAAATTAAAAAATCCTGTCTCTTGCTTCTATTTTGATAAAAATGGCTAGATGGAGTTTTTGTCTGACTTCGTCTTTGGGTTGTCGATTAATATCTAGTGGGAGATTAATTAGCTCTGCTGGGTTATCTCTGATGGTGTTAAATTTGGATGCCCAGCTGATAATGTGATGGTATTCTGTAATGAGTTCGTCAGAGATATATTGATCATTTTCTTCAAGATTGGTATTGATCGATATATCATAATTCTCTATTCCTGAGTATTTTATGATTAGGTCCTCCTTATATGACCAGAGTCTTTTGTATGCTGTTTTAAGCTTTTCCTTGTTAGAGTTTTCACTTGATAGGTTCTCTGGTTTTTGTTGTTGTTTTAGAGGTCGAGAGTTGGGAGATATGGGTGAAGAGAAGCATAGAGTATTGAGAATAGGGTTATTATGTTGACTAGGAATGTTGATTAAGTGAGAAATAGTTGAGATGTCTGAGAAACAGTCGTCAGGGGTCTTTTCTTTCCTTTGGTGACTGTTGGGATTCTCAGAATTTGTGCTGGGAGTGTTTTCTTTTCCAGTTTTTTGATAAGTATAGAAGCTTACAATGTTGTCCATATCTATGGCTTCTGATATTGGAAAATCTAAGTCGATAGACATTGATTGATCCTCCTTATATAGATCCTGTACACTTGACGGTAGCTGATTAATTGGCTAGTTTGATGAATCTGATTGACGATTTATTAAGTGATATCTAGGTTCTAATTGGCCAGTTTTTGTGGTTGGTTAAGATATTTGATTGATAGTTATATTGACATTTGTCTGATTTGAAGTCCTATTGCGTAACTCTGCTGGTAAGACAGTTTTGTTGGCGGAGAAAGTTTGTGAAGATGGTAGCTGGTTTTCTTTTCCTAACTGGTATGATGTTATAAGAGTAAATGTGTTTTCCTTTTTCTTTGTGTTTTTGTTAATTTGGATCATATTCCATGGCACGTGTTTTGAATAATTCCATCCTTTGGTCATTACTTTTTGAAAGACTTCATTTCTCAATTAACTTTCACTTGTAAAGATCCTCTGAAGAGAATTGTGAAAGTTTAGAAATTTGTCGAAAAGTTGGGAAGGCTTTTCTGTAAGGACTGAAACTTGTGCCAGAAGATTTTTTTGATCTTCGGAGATTGCAAACTCTATTTGGAACACGCTTAGATTTGTTGAATCAGGTCCAGAAATATTGGTGGTGGGGATGAGCCACTTGGTGGGGTAGTTGTTGAATAAGAGTATTGCTATCATTCTGGAAGGTTCTGTAAGAATGACTTCTTTATTTTCATTTTGATATATTATGGATACATGGCGACGGGTTCTGTTTACAAGAATAACATCTAGAAGAATAATATTGTTATTGTTGTTTGCATGGAATGTTGTGAGTGGTGAGAAGTAGGAATCATTACTGATAGTTGAGCTTGGTTTTGGGTTTTGATTGGTCATAGTTAATTGGATGGAATGAATTATTGATATGTTTACTGCTGATGTGCTCTTGTAGTGACGTGTTTGTTATTGTTAATACTTGCTTAAGAAACTGTGGTTGCGGTATAGACGTGTCAACTATACGACGTGTTTGTTTTGCTATTGCGTTTATGTTGTTGACGTGCTAGTGTTGTTTACTTAAGCTTTTTTTGGTTTTGGTTAACATGTTAGCTACGGGACGTGTTTGTTTTGCTGTCACGTTTACGTTGTTGACGTGTTGATGTTATTTACTTAAACTTATTTGGTTTTGGTTGACATATAGATCTTGTTTACTTGGATTGTTTGATTTGTTTTACATGTTTTCTAATGTGTCGATCACTTGCTGGGAATAAGCTGATTCTGGTTTTTTTCCCCTCAATTAAAAATTTGTTGTGTAACTATTGGTTATTGATATTGATTGATGTATTGTTGTTTGTTTATTTGGGTCCTTTGATCTGGATTCCCTGAGAAAAGTCTGGTGTTCCCTTGTTTTTTGTTTGGTGTCAAGGTTGCCTGATTTATCGAGTGAAATCTGGCCAGCAAAAATCCTTCTGGTGTCTAGGGAGTTGCAGAATCTTGTACACGACTGGCTAGAAGCTAGAAGGATTAATGCTGACTTTTCTTTGAGCTTACTGTGAATTGTAATGCTTATGTTTTCTTTTCTCTAGTATAATTTGTCTATTGAGAAAAGAAAATGTATCTAACAGAAATAGTTAGTAGTATAGTTCACAGAGTGGATTCACCTTTCAGGATAGTTGTGTTTTGATTATAGTTCTCTATTAGTGGTTCTTTTATTTTTTTTGAAAGTAAAGATAATTTTTGAAAAGTGTTCTTAAAATTACCAAAAAAGGTAATTTTTTAAGAATTTGGTGGTTTACGGGAAAGAGTTTTTTTTGTCACAAATTTTTTATTAAAAATTCATAATTAGTTTATCTCTAGTAACTAATTAATACTTTAGTTTTAATTAATTATATCTTATAAAACACTTAAAAACATTCTTCATATCTATTAAAGATCAATATAAACAACTTCAAAAATAGAAACTTGTACAATTATATAATCTTTTACTATTAATAAACATCAAAATAACAATCGCGTCTTATCAAACATTAATAAAAAAAACAACAATATACTATTACTATTATAATAATATAATAATAAGTCGGTCACTAACTCTAGTGAGATTCATATAACTGTTACTAAGGATCCTAATGATTCTCTTCGATTCTGTATTCAATTCTCAAGTTTATATTAAATTTAATAGATAGGATATACCTCACCATCATTTTTAATAGTGTTCTGAATCTCATGCGATTTCCTGCAATTCTGTTCGATTCCAATTTTCAGAACCCTAACTGTTACTAGATAAATAAATAAAAGAGTGATTTTAGATATATTTGTATTTGACTGAATCTTTATTGATTTTCTCACTAAATTCCTTGTTTTTTCTTTCTATATTTCTATACTTTATATATTATTTATACTTTATATTTGGTTATAATAATTTAGACATAATAATAATTAATAATATAGTACTATGACTAAAGCTAAATTATATAATTCTTTTCACAATTCTTTTTATCTTTCTTTTATTACCTAATTATCACAGCAAACTTACTATTGTTATGTTAATTGGTTATATAACTAATGTCATATTTTATTTCTTCCTATTACACTATTAAATAATAATCATTAAGTCCAAATAATTATTTAAAAATTTTTTTCATATTTTTGTTTTTCTCAAACAATAGTCTAAGAGTGGCTCATATCAATAATAGCCTGGAGTGGCTCATA